ATTCTTAATACTTAAATATTATTTTCTAGTATATTTTTATGCATTTATTTAGAAATATTTATCCTTTTTTTTAAAATTGAATGATGATAGAGTGAATATTTGGAGACTTTTTAAATAAAATAATGACGATAATTTATCTAAATTTTAATTTAGAATTTTTATATTGTAGTCCAACGTGCTACCCCAAGCAGCTATACTGTTGGAAGATCAAAATTATTGTTTTCTTGTTTATTTTACTAGATTTAAAATTTCAGATGTCCAGAAATTTTCGAGTTCAGAAAACTTCTATCCGCCCTAATTTTTTCTTTAAATTAACCCTTTTTTCATACACTTTTGATGAGTTAAAAAAATAAATTTCCGTTCATACTTATTTGATTAAAAATATATTATTGATTGATTTGATATTATTCTTTAAATTTTGTAAAAATAGAGTAGTTATTATTAATTAAGAATAATATAAGTTCATTAATTTTTATTCTTAAATGAATTTTCTTGTCTTAACTTATTGTTTGATATTTTAAAATCATATCAGATACCAGTGATTTTTATAAATTATTTAAATAAACTTAAAAATTATATTTTAAAACAGTTGAAAATTGGTTCAGTACTACTTTATTCGTCTTCCCACTTATTATTTACGAATGATGTACTTACATTTTATTTAATAATTTAACTATTCATCTATACTTATCATTTTATTATTGTGATATCATTTTAATCATATGAAATCCCTGTGATCATCTCAATAGTTTTTATAAATTAATTAAAAGACATATTTTAAAACAAACTTTATAAACGAGTTTACTTGAATTCGTCCTCACTTAAACTCAAATGCATTTAATCCTTTAATAGAGCACTCTGTAAATGAAATGCATTTATTATACACTTCAAATGAATTTCTTTGTGAAAGCATTTTAAACCAATTGAACTTGTAAAATGACTTTAAATATCTTTTAAAATAGTTGTATAATAATTTAAATCTTTCTCCTTATATTGCATATTAGAAATAATATAGAACTAAAATTACTAGTTCGCAGATATTTCAAGATTTTTTTGTGTTTTAATATGTGAACATAAATACAATGTATATATAAAATTCATATATTTCTGACAATGAATTATGTGTTATATTAAACAATCAATTCTTTATTGTTATATTTTTTATTATCATTTGTTGTTTTATTGTGAAGTAAAATTAATGTATTATAATTATTCAAAATTAATAAAGTCCATTTGTAAAAATCCATCTCAAATGTGTTTTTCTCTCCTTAAAATACAATGAATATACACTCAAGAGCCAAAACATTATGACCACCCTAACATTTTGCAATGAACACGCCTGGAGGACGTGGAAGGCACGTGATCAGGTGGAAGTGGTATTTAACTGCTGCGGAAGAGTCTGAAGAATCATTCTTTCACTTACTTCTGTGTGTGAAGGGAAAGGCTGCGAATCTAAGCGACTTTGATAGAAGGCAGATTGTAATGGCTCGGAACAAGTATTTCCGAAACTGCACGACTCGTGGGTTGTTCGCGATCTACAGTTGTTAGAACCTATGCAAAGTGGATGAATGACGGTGAAACCAGTAGTAGACGACTGGGTGTTGGACGTCCACACGCTATCAAAGAAAAAGGTCGTCGGAGACTGTCTCGCATGGTGAAGCAAAACCGGAGCCAGACAGTGGCTCAGCTGACAGCCCAATACAATGCAGGGCCAAGTAGAATAGTATCGGAGCACACTGTTCAGAGGACACTGTTGGATATGGGGCTACGCAGCAAACGTCCCACTCGTGTGCCTTTGCTGACCAAGCGTCATCGCCAACTGCGCCTGCACTGGGCCCGGGAACATCGTGACTGGTCCATGGATCAGTGGGAGAGATTTGCCTGGTCAGATGAATCACGGTTTGTCATTCATCACGCCAGTGGCCGTGTCAGGATACGCCGTCTTCCAGGCGAACAGTTGCTCCCTCAATGTACAGTAGGTCATACACAGGCCGGTGGTGGCGGTATTATGCTTTGGGGGAAGTTCTCTTGGGCGTCTCTGGGACCCGTGGTTGTGGTAGAGCAGACCATGAATGCTACAGGGTATCTGAACATCATTGCGGACCAGTTGCACCCTTACATGGCCTCTGTTTTTCCAGCTGGAAATGGAATGTTCCGACAGGACAACGCCCCTTGTCACAAGGCTGAAATTGTGTTGGAGTGGTTCCAGGAACATGATGCTGAATTCCAGTTAATTTCCTGCCCACCTAACTCACCGGATCCCAATCCGATAGAACACATTTGGGATGTCCTGGGACGGCAGCTCAGAGTTCAAAGACCACCAATTCGCAATATCTCGGATTTGCGTGACCGTTGCTTAAACATCTGGTACAATCTGTCTCCTGCCATCTACCAAGGACTTGTGGCATCCATGCCAAGGCGGGTTGAAGCTGTGTTGCGCGCCAAAGGTGGGCCAACTCTTTATTGACAGGTGGTCATAATGTTTTGGCTCTTGAGTGTATAAGAGACAAAAATTTTCCAACATAAAATTACATGATAAATTAATTTATAAAAATGTGTGAATACATGCAAATTTCCATTCTAAACAAGCATTAAAAGCTCTGTTTTTAATTATCCATAATGAATTTACAATGAAAATTTAAGATATTTCTGGTGAGCATTACAATCCAACCAACAGCTAACAAATTGTAGGGATTTGAAATCAATAACAAATACTAATAAGTTACTTCACAGAAACTATCATGATAATAATTTGTTCATTTAACCTGTTAAATGGTTAACGATTATTTTTATTCATGCTGTAATGTCTCCGCCTATACTAGGTCTATAACGGCTACAAGAAGAAGACCATTTTCAGGTTCTTGGGAACACTTTAAATTTTATTTACAAACATTATATATATATATATTTACAGAACTCCATTTACAAAAAAAAAAATAAATAAAATAAAATTAAGGACATAAATTAGATACATAAGTGCAGTTCACACCAAGTTGAGAGATTTTCAGCATTCTCGAGTCTACGGCGACTCTAAGCACTTGGTCTGCAGCAGATCTTAACTGCCACACGGCGTGATTCACGAAACCACAAAGGACTCACTTTGAAAACACGCGAAAAAACTCCGGCCTATTCAGTCACTTCAGAGAAAAAAAGAAAAAATTTAACTTCTGGTCGACTCATCGCAGAACTCTCTCCTTTCTTTCCTTTACCCTTTTAAGAAAATCCATCAAGAGGCGATGGGGGATCAGCTTCCTTCACTTCTCATTTGAGTAGATATTTCTGAGCTCATGGTCTATCACCAACTCATGGTGTAGTCCATATTCAATCTGTAATTATTTCAACCTGTGAAGGTCTCACAGACATTAGCTAATTTTATGGGTCTCATTACACATGATACCGAATATCCGCTATCAAATTTGAGTGGCAGGTTGTTCTCATTAGTACAAAACACTAATTGCATGTAATATAACTACCCACACAAATGCTTATCTGCTGTCAAATTTGAATGACGGGTTGCTATTATATACTTTTCAAATGATATACATTCCTCTCTCCTGTGAATGAAATACCAAAACTCTTCCCGTGAGAAAAAAATTCTGGAATATGTTTTTGTACAAATTATTTAATTTAAAAAATAAACTAGCTTTCTTTGATGGAACATTTTTTGTACAGAATTTAAAGGTTTCTGTTAATATCAATGCAATATTTACTTTTTTATTTTATTATTATTATTTTGGTTTTTTAATAATCTCTCCAAACTATAAAATTGTTTTTATATACTTTTTCAAACCATAATACTTTTAATGGCATAAGATGTTTAGAATTACATTAATCTGCTTCTTCAATTTTGGTGAGTGAATACCACTCATTAACGGCTCGGAAAATTCATTCTATAGCAACGAACAATTTCAGCAATGGAACATTTCCAGACAACATTGCATAAATGAATAATGAATCGATGTCTAAGGATTGATTTGTATAATGAGTTTTCTCACGAATCCCATTATAAAAAATTTTTGTTAATTATTCTCGGGGTTTCACTTCTTTTCTCATAAATGAGAGTCATATGCTAAATATTTCCAAAAACTTTTTATTTTATTAACATAAAAAAATAAGTACGGAAATAAGGAATGCTGGAGGCTTATTTTAACAAAACAACAATCATTGATTAAATAATATTATCATTTTTATTTTTAACAATGTTTTGACAAACTCTTTATACCATGGATGTACAGACCACAGTCCGCCGATTCTTTTCTTCAGACTTGCCTCATCACGTCTATTTTTATTTTAAAAAATAAAAAGTGTTGATTTTATTATTATTATTTTTTTTTTTTATTTTTATATTTTGATGAAAGATTAAAATAAGGAACATGATACAACTTTAGTTAAATAAAAAAAGAATAAAAAATTAACATTAGAAAATATATTATTCAATGTTTCCTATTTTATTGCGGACTTGTTGATGAGATCCTTTGTCAATAACGTGCTAGGCTAGATGCAGGAGGCCTATCTAAGTAATTTTCTTTTTTCTTTTTTTTTTTAATCTCTGCGGCATTTTTTTAGCAAAAAACGAGTTCTATTTTAAAATTTTCTTAACAAAATTGATGTAGTTATTGCTAAAGAGTACTTCAAAGCTCTCAAATATATTTGGATCAACACATTTTTTGTGGGCAAATATTTTCAGGCATGAATATCAAAAATAAAATAAATAAAAATCATTTGACTAATAATCACTTCTGTATTCAGTTACCTCAAAAATCGAACCAAATTCCAAAACATTTATTCAATTAATGCAATATCCCGCATCAAATTCTTTACTTTTTTATTATATTATAATATTTAATTTTTATTAGACATACATTTTCTTCAATAGCGCAACAGACCCATGGTGGGACAAGGCCGTCAGTCTACTGGAAGATTTCGAAACAAAAGATGCTTTTCTTTTTTACGGAGTAGAGTTGCCAGCCCTTCACTCTGTAGTCATATAAGGCCAACAATCCGGTATGGTCTAGCGACTAGGATACCTGGATCTCACCCAGGAAGCCCGGATTCAATTCCCGGTGTCGGAAATACTTTTACGCTCTAGCCCTCGGAACTCGGAATCCGCTATAAACCGTAGGCCCCAGTTTCATATGACCGTAGAGCGTCACAGAACCCAATCAGACATCTTCTCACCCACATCATTCCCAAACTGTAAAGGGGCAACTCAGCTCTAGGCATAGTGATGTGGTGTGGTATAGTAGTAGTAGTCATATTAGACCGGAACCTACGTTTAAAAATGGAATTCGAACCACTACAAACATCTATGGCACCGCCGGGACTCGAACCGTGTGGTACTGAGCGCTAGTCACTCGGCTATCAGGCCTATTAGACATACATACATATTATAAATATAAAGAATAGGTAATTTTCGAGGGTGTTCTTTTCAGACCTCGGCTAAGTTGTGATAAGTACATGCTACCCATGGTCTTCGCAATTCTGTACATCCCTGCTTTATCGTGTCATTAAATTAAGTAAACGTTAATATTAAACAAATTCATTTCTCTTAATTTTACATGTAATGCATATTATAATATGACTTTAGAAGCTTAAACAATCTCGGTTTCTTTCAAATTTATAATGAAGATGTATCTTTATAATTTTTGAAGCTTTAGTCAAAAATTCATAGGGACATCACAATAATTCATTCCATAACTCAACGTCAATAACCTACAATCAAATTTTATTTCAAATATTTAATATTATTTTTATCTACTGATTTCACAATATTAATATCAAAGATTTCCTTTTTTTGATCTTCCAAAATATATAAGACAAAAATATCAAAAATTCTTAGATCCCGATAATTTGTTCCATAACTCATTGTCAATGACCGACAATCAAATTTGATTTCAGATATTTAACATTATTTTTATCTACTGATTTCACAATATTAATATCAAAGATTTCCTTTTTTTGATCTTCCAAAATATATAAGACAAAAATATCGAAAATTCTTAGAGACATCCCGATAATTTGTTCCATAACTCATTGTCAATGACCGACAATCAAATTTGATTTCAGATATTTAACATTATTTTTATCTACTGATTTCACAATATTAATATCAAAGATTTCCTTTTTTGATCTTCCAAAATATATAAGACAAAAATATCTTCTTAAACATCCCGATAATTTGTTCCATAACTCATTGTCAATGACCGACAAAAATTTGATTTCAGATATTTAACATTATTTTTATCTACTGATTTCACGATATTAATATCAAAGACAAAATATATAAGACAAAAATATCGAAAATTCTTAGATATAATTTGTTCCATAACTCATTGTCAATGACCGACAATCAAATTTGATTTCAGATATTTAACATTATTTTTATCTACTGATTTCACAATATTAATATCAAAGATTTCCTTTTTTTGATCTTCCAAAATATATAAGACAAAAATATCGAAAATTCTTAGAGACATCCCGATAATTTGTTCCATAACTCATTGTCAATGACCGACAATCAAATTTGATTTCAGATATTTAACATTATTTTTATCTACTGATTTCAATATTAATATCAAAGATTTCCTTTTTTTTGATCTTCCAAAATATATAAGACAAAAATATCGAAAATTCTTAGAGACATCCCGATAATTTGTTCCATAACTCATTGTCAATGACCGACAATCAAATTTGATTTCAGATATTTAACATTATTTTTATCTACTGATTTCACGATATTAATATCAAATATTTCCTCTTTTGATCTCCCGAAGTATATAAGCCAAAAACAAAACCGTAATATATGTTGCTTCCTTTGGATCCGAACCAACGGCGAACATTCATAACATCAAAAATCCATAACTCGCCATTAATAATTCAGGACCCTCGTTGTTTTCAGCCGTCCAGTTAAATAATGAAGTACATCTCTGACTTCGTCAATATCCAAGATTGCTGTGTAATTTTATGTTAGATATATGTGATGAGTCATCAATTTACCAGTGATGAAGTATGAGGAATTCGAAAGTAATTTTTTTTTTTGTGTGGGTGGGTGTATACAGCACAGCTGAATAAGCTAACTTTAGTATTTTATGAATTTCTACTGGTTTCTAACATATAACTGCTGCAGGGTTTTAACTGCAACAAATATTTGCTTAAAAACTGCATATATTTTTATTATGATTTAATAGATTCAATTAAAAACTAAATGCATGCAGAAGTCTGATGAAAAAAAAAATTGTTGTATTAGAAAACTCAATGGATTACATTTCTCAGAAACAGTTAAGTATACCATTTAGAACGTATTGGAAAGGGATTATAAAAGAAATTAAACTGATTTTACTGATAAAATTTCATACAAAGCTATAAACAAGAATTATCATAGTAATATCCTAATAACCCAATTTAAGATTAAGGGCGTCAATTACCTATTGAAATAAACTGTATCACTAAAATTTGTGAAATCGTTTTTATTCCTTTTCAATAGATACCAATCTATGTTTTCCAACACAAAAATAGTGCAAATAAACAATATCAGTATAATTTCATAGAGCAATAAAACCCCAACCATGAATCATTGATTATTTTCAAAAGTTTGGTCAATTACTAAGAGACAAGTATTGTGCACGAAAATCTGCTTTATAAAGTCGTCAAATATAAAAACCTCATGCATAAAAACATCGTTAATTCAGAAATTGTAAATGCAGTTGAGGAAAGAAAAGCATAATGATAATTTTTCCAATAAATTAAATATTTATTAAACAATTTTAAATATTTAATTATTGGAATATTAGTTATTTAAAAAAATATTTATTAAAAAATTTAAAATTTATTAAACAATTAAACATTAAACAAAATTTAAAATTTATTAAACAATTAAAAATTAAAAAAAATTAAGTATTTATTAAACAATTTAAAAATAACGATAAAAAATGCTAATTAACGATAAAAATGCTTTCAAATATACACTGAAGGGACAAAAGTCATGGGATACCTCTTAATATCGTGTCGGCCCTCCTTTCGCCCGGCGAAGTGCAGCAACTCGACGTGGCATGGACTCAACAAGTCGTTGGAAGTCTTCTGCAGGAATATTGAGCCATGCTGTCTCGATAGACGTCCATAATTGTGAAAGCGTTGATGGTGCAGGATTTTGGGCACGAACAGACCTCTCGATGATGTCCCATAAATGCTCGATGGGATTCATGTCGGGCGATCTAGGTGGCCAGATCATTCGTCGGAATTGTCCAGAATGTTCTTCAAACCAATCGCGAACAGTTGTGGCCCGGTGACATGGCGCATTGTCATCCATAAAAATCCCATCGTTGTTTGGGTACATGAAGTCCATGAATGGCTGCAAGTGATCTCCAAGTAGCTGAACATAAGCATTTCCAGTCAATGTTCGGTCCAGTCGCACCAGAGGACCAAGTCCATGCCATGAAAAAACAGCCCACATCATTACGGAGCCACCACCAGCTTGAACAATGCCTTGCTGACAGTTTGGGTCCATGGCTTCGTGGGGTCTGCGCCACACTCGAACCCTACCATCAGCTCTTACCAACTGAAATCGTGACTCATCGGACCAGGCCACGGTTTTCCATTCATCTAGGGACCAACCGATATGCTCATCACGTGCCCACGAGAGTCGCTGCAAGCGATGTCGTTCTGTCAGTAAAGGCACTCGAGTCGATCTTCTGCTGGAATAGCCCAAGAAAGCCAAATTTCTCCGCACAGTTCTAACAGACAAGTCCCTTGTACGTCCCACATTGATTTCTGCGGTTATTTGACGTAGTGTTGCTTGTCTGTTAGAATTTACGACTCTTTGCAGACGTCGCCGGTCTCGGTCGTTAAGTGCAGGCGGTCGACCACTGCGCTGTCCATGGTGGGATGTTATGCCTGAAATTTTATACTCTCGGCACACTCTTGACACAGTGGATCTGGGAATGTTGAATTCCCTAACGATTTCCGAAATGGCATGACCCATGCGTCTAGCTCCAACTAACATTCCGCGTTCAAAGTCTGTTAATTCCCGTCGTGCGGTCATCATCACGTCAAAACCTCTTCACATGAATAACTTGAACAGAAATGAAAGCTGTGCGAAAGCACTGCGCATTTATACCTGTTCTACGCGATGCTACTGCCATCTAAAAATTTGCATATTGCTATCCCATGACTTTTGTCACTTCAGTGTATAAAGGAGGGAGGGGTCTTATTTCCAAAAATAAAAATTTAATTTTCCTGTATCAAATAGAAAAGTAAAATATGCGGATCTTTTTATTGGGAAAAGGTCTTAGTTGTCAAAAATTTCAAAATTATCAACAGCTATTCTCTTCATCCCCTGCAAAAAGTAATATTAGGAGCAGTACAAATAGTTCAGTAGAAATCCTAAAAAGTCTAAGACTGTATGTACATGAGCAAACGAAAGCAATTTTTTATGAACAAAAAAATTTACTGGAATAATTAATTGATTTTCTTTATTTTCCTTTCATTTATCAAATATTCTTATGTGATAGGAAATTATAATATAAATTTGAGATTAGAGCTCCTTTTTTATGTAAGTATAATATTATTTATGCGAAGAAGATAATTTATCGTGAAAAAGCAAATTTTAAACTTGCTGGGCAAAAAAAGCCACTCAAGAAGTGCATTATAACCCTGTAAGCCCGAGAACGTACGATCGTGCTGCCCTCCCCCCATGTCTCAGTGGGGGGGGGAGGCATAGATTATTTTAATTATTTTTTTGTGTCATTGGAGTCAATGTCTACTGAAAATTTAAAAAGATAAAATTTAAATATAAAAAAATTTCAGGTCTTAAAGGGATATAAAAGATTTAATATCCGACTCAAAACTTGTTCTAAAATATTTAACATGTGTTTTATTTATTTATTTTTTTATTTTTAAATTATTTCTTAAACTGTAGCTAGGTATCAAACTTGCATAGTGGAAAATTATAATTTTTAGTAAAATAGGAAGAATAATTGGTGTTCATTCACTTACGTGGATTTTGTGAGTGTGTGAGAGAAAGAAAGAAAGAAACCGAGCAAAAAAAAAAAAAAAAAACCCGAAAAAGAAAGAGGGA